ATATATATATACATATTAATACATTATTAAAAATACATACAATACACTGTATATATATCTATACCCAAATACCCACGTACATAAAGACACTATTTTACACCGATACAGAACAGTTTCATAAACACTCCATTGCTGGTCGCCACTGGGCAACTTTGGAACGACAAAGTTCTATCTGACATTTTTTGTCGTTTTGATTTACTAAGACCATGAAGTCAGGGACCAAATGTTCTATCTGACATCTTTTGTCGTTTTGATTTACTAAGACCGTGAAGTCAGGGACCAAATGTTCTATCTGACATTTTTTGTCGTTTTGATTTACTAAGACCGTGAAGTCAGGGACCAAATGTTCTATCTGACATTTTTTGTCGTTTTGATTTACTAAGACCGTGAAGTCAGGGACCAAATGTTCTATCTGCTCTATCAAAATCGTATGATTATTCAGAGTCGTTATCAAGATATTTAAAGAAATGCATTCGAAAAAAGCTTGACCATGTTGTGAAATGCATTTTTTTTTTACGTCAAATTTTCTAAAACAAGGTTCTGAGCAGATAGAGCTTTGTAATAATGGGTAGCGACTGTGCAGAGCCATGTATACTACTCCCCTGAGAACAATAAAATACCAAATGAGTTTGTCTACTCTAAGATGGTCACCCTCTTTCGAGGAGAAAAGTGGCCGTCTTTGAAAGAAATGAAATGGTACTGGAGAAGAGTCATCTCCGATGATACATGATACTTAATAAAACAAAACACATTGTCTAATCCCCCAGATTTTCCTGCTATCCGTGGAGCAGGACCCCAGCTACTCCCAGGCCTACATAAACATCGGAGCTCTTCATCACCTGCAGGTCAGACATCACAGGGCGCTAGGCTGGGGATTTTAAGTTCCTTTCTACACTGATTTATACCTGGGTTTATACTGTGATCGTGTTATGCTTGGTACCGTTATGCTCTAACTTTAACTCTAAGCGTATAACCGCTTTCTTGGGTTGTTTTTTTAATTCTCCAGGGAAAAAGTGAAAACATATTCCCTACTCGAAATTATTTTTTTTTAAGGCTTGATTCCTGAGGAATTACATTATATCATAATGGATGGCTATTCTTGTCTCAGAGCAAGATTTTTTTAGCCCTTGCTGAACATTGTATTACCTGTGTTACCTGTATTACCTGTATTACCTGTACTAGCTGTCCTGGGCAACAACGTCATTGCACACCGGACAGGTCCATAAGTGCTCAGTTCCCCCCAGCACCAAAGCCCGCAAGGTATCCATACTGATTGTATGCTGAACATTGGCAATGGATAAAGCACAAAAAAAAGAAGGAAAAAAAAAAGACCCCCCCCAAAAAACCTGAACCGAGATGATACATTCCTTTCAGTTGCACCATCTATTTAGTACAAGAACCAAATACTCCGATTTTACATCCATATCCAACTGGTTCAAAATATGTTTGCAGGGAGATGTGAAAACTATTTCTATAACCCTAGTTTGTCAACACTTCTTTGGGGATTCGAATCAGGGTCACCCACAATGTAGTTTAAAAAAATTCCTCCTGAAAGGTATTGAGATACTTTAGAGATATCGATTCAGAAATCAGCAACAGGTCTGGTCAAAGCTCAAGTATCGTTGTTGTTCTCCGTACAGAAAATGCTTCATCAGCATAACTCTGTCTCTCTGTCTTTTCTTCCTACGCTGTATTTCTTTCTTTTATTTTACCCCCCCCCCCCCAATCCCCCACAACCTCCCTTATACCCCCCCTTAGGCTATTCATTTGTCATGTCACAGCTTCTTTCATTTTCCTTTGCTCCAGACTCTGTTCATCTTCATTCTTTTCTGTTCGTTTGTTGGTTTTGTCTATCCCAATCCCGTTCTGTCTTTAGAGGTTTTTCAAACATTATGGGGCTAAATGGGGACATTAGACTATTACTGTTATGAACTACAGTGTTATTTTGGTACTTTCAAAATTTCCTTGCCCACCTAGCTCTGTTCAGGTGATTGGCGGGTGCTGTAGTTTGCTTTCCTCCTTCTTTCCTGTGAAACATCTATCGTCCTGATCTCTCTTCCTTCTTTTCTGTGTTTGTTACTCTCTTATAACACCTCTAATATTCGCACTTTTATATCCTTATTATGTTGAAAGTGCCGTAAAACTCTTACTAATACAAACTTTGTTCCTCTCCCTCAATCCCTTCATTTCCAGCAAAACTTCGAAGAGGCAGAACGTTACTACCTGAAAGCTTTGAGCCTTGAACCGGACAACGAGCTGTGTGCTGCCAACTTACAAAAACTGCGGAAAGTTTGGAAGAAATCTTCAGACTCTCTGGCTAAGACGTAACATCGATAATACCCCTCCCCCCTTTTCATTTTTTAAACCTTTCTCACAATTGCATTGTTGTGATGAATCATACCTTATACGGTCATCGTGTCTGCATGCTATGATGGGATGTGGAAACTTTGGAAACCTTGAGAATTTCCCTACCAATGAGATTCAAGCCTCAAAACGACTGTGAGATACATGTCCAAATCATAGACTAGAACTCCTAGACTGACACTGTCATCGCCACCGTGATCTCTCGCTCTACTCTTTGTAGAAGCTTTGCTGTGGATGTTCGTACCATGGGACATGGCGCTGTTACGCCCTAATGAAGAGCGAAAAACAGTCTACAGAGGAGTGAAGCTGATGTGTCGCCTGAGTGCGGAGGAAGAAGAGTTTTGTTTTAGTAAGAGTTTCACGGCGCTTGCAACACAATAAGGTCATATAAGTTCCGAAGATTAGAGGTGTTACAAGAGAGTAACAAACCCACAAAAGGAGGAGAGATCAGGATGGTAGATGTTTGATAGGAAAGAAGGAGCAAACGACACCAGAGCATCCGCCAACCACCCATGGAAGAAGAGTGACTGTGAAACGTAGACAGAGACATCATACAGCTGGGAGGAAAGTTACACACAGGACAGTGACACGATGAGACAGTCATATCGTCACGCTCATGAGATAAATGCCTAAGTTATTTTTAGCTGTTTTGGGATGATGAGAAAAACCCCCAACAAAACAACCTGTTTCTTTCGAATAATTGACTCTGTGAAAAGCTTGAATTTTGGTGCGCTCAATTTTATATTTGGATAATTTTTTTGTCCAAGTAAACTATATTGTCAAACTGGCTCTGCCCTTCATTTCAGTACCAAAAATTCCAAACCGGCCCAAAATAACTAAGACAATTATCTTATAATGAGTGTAATGATATGACTCATTATGAACAGATCATTCGCCCAGGGAGTTTAAAATTCTTCTTATAATATATGACATGTATAAATAGAACATTGAAACTTCCCCCATCCCCTTTTCCCCTCACATTAACACTCCCCCCCCTCACTAAGCAAAGGGGATCCCCCCCTGGGACCCCACCTCCCACATTGCAAAGGGGAACCCCCCGAAACCCCCCCCCCCCCCACCGACACCCGCCAGAAACCAGTCTTTTTGTAGACTGCAAATAATATATTTACGGTAAGCTTGTCACGTAATTACATGTAGTTCTACATACACAATCATAAAACCTGCATTTATACTCAAGTATTTGGCGTGCGCTGTGCTTTGATGATTTTGTTTAGCTGTACACAGGTTGCATAGCCTCACCTCTGCAAAGACTATCGCTCTATAGAACACTTCAGTATTACATTTAATTCATAGTGAAGTAGCATACTCATATTTCAGGTTACACATTTTTAAATGTACACGTATACATTTCCTGTAAACATATTTTTTAGCCTTTCTTTTGCAACCGATATTTTATGTATACACGTACACCTACCTATCACTAAGA